GATCCTCATGGATCCCCAGTGTTTTTGTGTTGGGTCATCATGAACACACCACCAAATCAATATCATGTCCAAGGCCACAGCCTGCACCACAGAATTCATGGATCCACAGATTCATGGCAACACCGTGCTGTAAAAATATGATTCCAAAGCACAGATCCTCATGGATCCTGTGTTTTTGCATTGGGCTACCATGAACTCACTATCAAATCACATTTGATGTCCATGGGCACAGCTGGCACCACAAAAGTCATGGATCCACGGTTTCATGGCAACACCATGAGGCCAAAACATAGTTCTGAAGCACGGATCCTCACAGATCCTCAGGATGTTGTCCCAAACCATGTTTTTTTGAGATTTAATGTGGGGTCACCCCAAACTCACCATCTACTAACTCATCACATTAGTGGCCACAGTTTGCACCACAGAATTTATGCCTTGATCACCTCAGCACCATCATAGTACAAAACCAGGAACCTAAAGTACAGATCTCATGATATTTATGATGGGTCCCTCCAAAACTCAACATCAAATCAAATAGCACAGTCAGGTCCACGGATTGCAGCACAAAACACACCATTTTGTGATACCAACATTATACAAAAATTTGGTAGAAACAGGGATCCTCATGTAGCCTATCAGTAAATGCTTAGCCCACCCAGTTGTATGAGCTGTTCCCATGGACATGAGATTTGGTGCTGAGTTCATGGTGACCAGTGTTCCCTCTAAGCTGATTTAGTGTGAGCTAGCTCACAGTTTTTTAGCCTCTGACTCACACATTTTTGTCTTAACTCAAGTAGCATGGCTCCAGAGCAAACTAATTTATGCAGCAGCCAAATCGCTCGCTCACAACTTTAATGCCAGGAGCTCACCAAGTAGAATTTTTGCTCACAAGACTCCACGGCTTAGAGGGAACACTGATGGTGACCCAATGCAAAACCTCTGAGGATCCATGAGGATCCGTGCTTCAAAACCATGTTTTTGCAGCATGGTGTTGCCATAAGGCCATGGATCCATGAATTCTGTAGTGCAAGTAGTGGCCATGGACATGATATGGGATTTAATGGTATGTTTGGAGTGTCCTAACACAATACCCCCAAGTATCCATGAGGATCCATACTTCAAAATCATGTTTTTGCAGAATGGTGTCACCACAAAGCTGTGGATCCATGATTTTTGTGGTTCATGCTGTTGCCATGGACATATTATGTGATTAGATGGTGTTTTTGGAGTGACTGAATGCAAAAATCATAAGGATACAAGTAGATCTGTGCTTCAGAACCATGTTTCTGTAGTATGGTGTTTCCATGAAGCTGTGGATTCATGAATTCTGTGGTGCAAGTAGTCACCATGGACAAGACATGGGATTTAATGGTATGTTTGGGGTTTTCCAACACAAAAAACCAAGCATCTATGAGGATTCATGCTCTAGAACCATGTTTTTGCAGAATATTGTTGCCATGAAGCTGTGGATCCATGATTTTTGTGGTGCAAGGTGTTGCCACGGACATGTTAAGTGATTTGATGGTCTGTTTGGAGTGTCCCACTGCAAAAACCCCGAAGATCCATGAGGATCCGTGCTCCAGAACCATGTTTTTGCAGCATGGTGTTGCTACGAAGCTGTGGACATGTGATTTCTGTGGTGCATTCTGTGGCCATGGACAAGATATGTGATTTGATGGTGATGTTGGGGTGACCCAGTGCAAAAATCATAAAGATCCATGCGGATCCCTGCTTCGGAATCAGGTTTTTGGAGCATGGTGGTGCCACGAAGCCATGGATCTGTAATTTTTGTGGTGATTACTGTGGCCATGGACATGATATGCGATTCAATGGTGAGTCTGGGGTGACCCAAAACCCAATATCCCTGAGGATCCATAAGTGTCCATGGTTCAGAACCCTTTTTTTGCAGCATGGATTTACCACCAAACCATGGACTCATGATTTCTGTGGTGCGAGCTGTGGACATGGACATGATATGTGATTTGATGGTGATGTTGGAGGGACCCAATTGAAAAACCCTGAGGATCCATGAGGATCCCTGCTTTGGAACCATGTTTTTGCACTTTTGTGGTGCCACAAATTCGTGGAGGTATGATTTTTGTAGTGCTGCCTATTGTCTAAGACATGGTCTTCAGAATTATGTTGGTTTTAATTTGTTTCAGCATAAAAATCATGAATTCATGAGGATCCAAGTAGAACCGACTTTTACCCAGACACCACCACCCCTTTATTAATGAGAACTTTATCTTTTCTGCAGCCTTAAAATAGTTTCTGGTTTTGCTACTGTGTTTTGAACGTTCTTCTGCTCATTACAGCTATTTATAGTTACAACTGTTTTTTAAATTTTTCAGTAAAGGATTTCTTTCCCGGTGTTTGATTTTAATGTGTACTCCTAATAGTGTTATTATTGGAGCCGCGGTGGCTCAAGTGGTTAAGACGCTGAACTGCAGGGTGTGGAAGGTCAGAAGTTCAGCAGTTCAAGACCCAAGTTGCCGCATGACGGAGTGAGCGCCCGTCTCTAGTTCCAGCTCCTGCCAACCTAGCAGTTCGAAAGCAAGAAATTGCAAGTAGATAAATAGGTACCACTTCGGTGGGAAGGTAACAGCGTTCCGTGCGCCTTGGTGTTTAGTCATGCCGGCCACATGACCATGGAAACGTCTTCGGACAGCGCTGGCTCTTCGGCTTTGAAACGGAGATGAGCACCGCAACCCTAGAGTCGGACTCGACTGGCTTTCGAGCATGGGAACCTTTACCTTTAATAGTGTTATTGGTGTTTGTCGTATTCTGTAAAACGCACAGAGAACCCTGCGCTTGAGAAGACTCCCACCTAAGGACCACACTTCTACAATAATAAAAAAAAGGTTTTCCCCGTCTCATTTCAGGGCTTGGGGGGGGGGGTCAGTTTTA